TTGTTCCAATGTTATGGAATCACCCAGGACCCATCCACCAATGAATACTGTTTGGTGATGGACTATGCCAAGAACCAAGACTTGAGGACCTACCTGAATAATAATTACAAAAATATGAATTGGATCTCGAATAAATTACAAATCCTTGGTAGCCTGGTAAGAGGATTAAAATTAATCCACGACGAAGGATTTACTCATGGGGATTTGCACTCAGGCAACGTATTAATTGGTGATGATGAGATGGCAATCATCACGGATCTTGTTCTGTCACCTAATTATGTTGGCGAAGGTGGATTAACCAAGGATGAGCCGAAAGGAATGTACGGGGTGCTCTCATTTGTCGCACCGGAAGTATTACAATGTAAGCCCTACACCACTTTAAGTGATGTATATAGTTTCGGGATCCTCATGTGGACTTTGACTTCTGGAACGTCGCCGTTGTCGAATTTTGATTTTACAACGGCTCTAGCGGTAGATATTTGTGATGGCGAGAGGCCAGAAATAGTTGAGGGGACACCTCAATGCTATGTAGATCTCATGGAAAAATGTTGGGATTCCGATCCTAAGAAGAGACCGACTGTTGACGAAATCTGTGAGCTAGTGTACAAGTGGTATTTCATGGAAAAAGATCATGAGCAGTTTAAGAATTCCGACGATGATAATGGAAAAGGTTTGACGAAACCAGAGAAAACTAAAAAAGTAATCGCCGATGAGAAGTTCTACAGCCAATTTATCGACCTAGAGGCGATCTCAAAAATTGAAAGATTTGAAGAATTGGATGGTATGCATGCATTTCCTATTGATCTGTTCTATTCGGGAACATCAAACTAACTTTCCTGCATTTTAATACTCTACCCTACAATTTTGCCTTTGTCGAAGATTTTTATACTCAACCCTAAATTCTGAGACCTATCAATTATCTTTTTTCATCATATTTATGTATTTATTTCGACAATCTTCTTGCTAATTAAATAAAGGGTATGTGTATCATTCCGTGGTTTACATAAACGTGCTTTCTGATATTGAAAAGATGGTATGCAACGATGGAATAAATAAAATCGTACACGCGCTAACTACAGTATATAGTAATGCAAATATGTAAATAGCGAAAACGATGATTCACTTTTTGAAATACCTCGCCTCACGTACATTTAGAATTCTTGGGTGAAAATCGGATTTTGACAAGTCTATGTAAAATCGGTCCCAACGCATCG